TTCGGAGGAGGCCCAATCTGTGCGATCTAATTGGTCGGAGGGAGGTAATCGGCAGGAGGCGGTCTCCTTCCTGAAACTTTTTTAACCAGTCTGTGGCTCTGAGATTTCTTGGTAGGTGCCCACTGAAGCACTAGCCAGACCCAACCTTGCTTTGCAGGCATGTCAAGGTTGGTTAGGTGCTGCCAGCTACTCAGATAGAGATATTAGATGAACTTCACATACCAAGAAGTAAAATCTATAAACTTGAGTGATGCCCCCCTGACCCCTGCCTCGCCCACTCCCCCTAACTCTCAGCCCTGCAGGTAGGTGGCGTGGGGCTGTGGGTCCCTGTCGGCCTGGCTTGCTTGCGCCCGCCCGGCTCTTCCTGAGCTGGCATCAACCCTGGCCATCCGGGCTCCGAGGCTTTTGCCCATGGCTTGGCTAGTTCCAGCTTGCTCCAGCAGGGAGGGCAACCAGAAGTTCAGGGAAGCCACCAGAGGGCCTCCGGGAGGGTATTTTTGCTCTTCAGTCTCATAGAAAGCCTCTGGAGCCTGGGGAGGGCGAAAAACAGATCCATTGTGAGCAAAGAGTGGGGGCGTGTGTGCGGGGGCGTGTGTGCATGTACGGGGGTTGTGTGCATATGCGGGGGTTGTGCGTGCATGTGCAAGTGGGGGGGTCATGCACATCGAATTATGGGTGTGGGCACGCCCGTGCACGACCCTCCTGCACTTCCCCCGTTTTTGGCACATGATGGGAAAAAGGTTAACCATCACTGTCCTATGCTTTTATTAAAGGGTACAGATTTTGCTTCTGCTTCAAGGTTTTTCAGGATGCTATGTTTAACTCATTTGAAAAAAAAAACAAGGATTAAAATCATAAGGACCCCGACAGTATAAAAGTAGCAGAGAAAGTTCAGCATCACTGCTGAGTGAGGTGAAAACAAGTCCTTTCTGCATTAAGAGACTTTCAGATCATTTTTGAAACAACGTTCCAAAGCACCTCAAAGCTTTTGAAAGAGGCATTTTGCAAATGAAGCAATTTGGCTTGGGAAGCTACTTCAAAAGATATCCCTGGTTGTCTCTAAATGTGTGTGCAAAGTGCAACCACTTTGCTTCCGTGGCAGTGCCAGTGAAAATACTGCCTGGGCATGCAGAGGCAGGTAATTGGGGACAGATTTGCAAAAGAGCTGCTTTCATGCTTCAAAAGGAGTGTTTTGTTCATCAGCACCCTTTGCTTTGCAAAAACCCTACGGTATATTCTTAGCTGTAGCTGAGATTTGGCCTGTACATTTTTGGAACTGCATTGTCAAGACAGACATATTTTGATAGAAAGCAATGCATTCTCCCCTCATAAACTATTTTTCTTAACTGTTGTCTTGGCCATGGGTTTTATTAACAATATATCTCAGGCAGCTGTACTGGTCAGCATCAAATGGATGGCTTGCATATTCCTCAATATAAGAAAAGTTGCTTTTTAACTGGTTCCCTCTTAGAATTGCAGCAGCCAAGGAAACAAAAAAGTGAGAGCTTTGGCATCTTATATGACAAAACGTAAAGCCTTCTATCAAGGCCAACTTATAAATATTTAGACCTATAAAGAAATTAAATTATGTGTCCTATAGTAAAAATAGGCCAGAAAAGCTTTTAGTGTCACTAGCTGCCAATTGAAGTAATTTGTCTAGGAGGGTCAGGTGTCACTTTCTGGTGAGGATTTAACACTGATCCAAGTGAAGGAAGATTGATACAACAAAGGGAATGATAAAACGAGCAATGCAATTTGCATATTGCTGGTAATTAGGAAATTTAAGCAGGAATGTTCTTTTGTGTGAAATGATGTGAAACGGGAGGTGTTGGCAGTCTCGTATGTTTAAGTCTGATTTCTTGATATAAAATGAGTGCTTGTGTATATCAGTGAAAGTAATTGGTATTGCTTTCAGCTCAGTGTTAATGAAAATTTCTTGATCATTTTGGAGATGAATATAATATTTATAATTGTTGGCTTTATTCTCGTAAATTTCATTGGTCCACTTTCCTGTAACTTTCTGCAAGTAGCATGAGTTGGGAGGTGCTTCATTATTCTGGTAATTTTGGACTGAGGTTACCTTGTATAGGTAGTCTTTGTTTAGCGACTGTCTCATTTAGCAACTGTTTACAGTTATGACAGTAATGAAAAAGTAACTTTGTAGATCTGTAAAGCAAAGGAATGCTGCTTTTACTTCATCTTTACAGTAAGGTCAATCTTTTTTTTAATTGTTATGTTTCTCTTTTCAATTCTGTGTTATATTGTTCTGTTTGTCTTTTCGATGCTTGGACAGCTATATACTGTAGTTTTCACTCTATAAGACACACCTAGGTTTTGAGGAAGAAAAGAAGAAACAAATGTGAATCTGGAGTGCTGTCTCACTGTGCATATGGAGCGCTGAATATGGAGCAGCAGTGTAGTGAGGGCAGGAGGCGGAGCCTGAGAGGACTACAGATAGGTGTCCTCTCATGTGCCAGCTTTGCCTATTGACTCCTGCACTCCAGCGGGGTTCAGTACTATAAAAGGACCCCACTGTAGTGGCCCAACAGCGATATTCCCTCCATAAGACACACAAATATTTCCACCCAGGATTTTTTTTTGGGGGGGGGGGAGGAAAGTGTGTCTTATGGAGTGAAAAATACAGTAAATTAGTCTAATAAACTAATTGCTTATTACTCTCTGTAGAATTCTGCATATAAAATTGCACAATTCTATACAAACCAATGGGACCACTATTACTTATTCTGTACTTTTCTCATTTTATAAATGGTTCATTTCCTTAATTTAGAAAGGGAACATTTGAGGATGTATCATGTTGTTTAAAAAAAAGAGAGGGGAAAACCCTCAAGAGTTGTAAGAAACAAATTATGTTTTGAAATAGTGATAGCATTTTAGTGAAATGACTAAATTTTAGTTAGAAAAGTAGAGGTAAAAAAGTATAGAGGTCTCTCTCAGAAATGTCTGGTTTATGCATCTTTGTCAAGCCTTCCACTGTCGGATAGGCTACCTGGTAATTGCTATTATTACTATTTATTTTCCTGATGGAGCCTCATCTAACATACTAACCTCATGCCTGGTTGTGAGAAAGTAATTGTTGTGCTTATGTTTTGCTGATTGTTGGAATGGGAGGGAAAAAATTCTATTATACAACCTCCTGGCCATATACTGTAGTCATCTGATTAGAGGTTTGAGCATTTCCTCTCTTCCTCACTCATGGGTAAATCAAACTTGCAAGAAATCATCAAAATCTTGTTTATTTAGGAAAAAAAGATATGCAGTATAAAAAACTCTGTGCAACCTTCACTGCCCAAATTTCAAGGACTTAATAATGAAGGGAAATAATTCCAGATTGTTTACATTGTGAGAGACAACAGCACCTTGATTAAAAGAAAATGTCACAGGTAATGTAATGCTCCAAGTAGACCACAAGATGCCAGTGATCTACTGCAAGTCTTCCATCAGTAGATATGTTGAGAGAATTCCAAATTCAATTCCAAGAATTTTTCCCATAGGAAAATTCATCCACAGATGAAAGCCCATACTGAATAATAAAAATAATGTATTTAGATTTATATAGGGAAGAAAAAAATGTCAAAGAACAATTCTGAACTAAAACTCAATTAAAACTTATCCTGTAGAGAAGGGATCATCCTGTTCCTTGGAAACAGTCTGACCCTAACTAACTCTGCTTCCTATCTTCTTACCGTGGTCTGCCCTTCTGCCCTCTTTATGCCAGAGTTCTCCCATCTGTAAAAAGGAGGGTTTTTTTCCCCTCTAACATCTTCTTCAGGAAGTTGTGGGTTGTCTGAGCCTATCTAGTATGTGGCTGACAAGTGGTAGCATGGAAAATGCAGGCAAGCCGTCAACACAGCTGTATTTATCCAGAAGAAATGCAGCGTTGAATTTAAGATCACTTTCATCCTCAGGAAGAGGAGATAAATTCAGTTCCCTAAGCCCTCCTATTTTAAGAATAAATTATTTGAGGTTGGGAGGGTGGGCAGAAAGCCCAGTTATCTTTTTAGTTAAATACAGAATTTGGTAGTTGTTTGAAACAACTGGAATGGATTATAGTTTAGCCTACTTGCCTTTAAAATTCCTAACACATGAAACGTGTTGACTTTACTATATTCTGACTTCATTCAACAAAGTAAGGAGGGTTTAATTCTAAATGTTTGTTTATATGTTTTGTATGAAAGCAACCTTTTTTTAAAAAAAAAAAATTATTTCCTCTTTACAGAAACCGAAACAAAAGGACTGGCATCCTCCCGGAGGCTTCATTTTAGGACTTTGGGCTCTAATTATCATGGTCTTCTTTAAAACCTATGGAATCAAGCACATGAAGCACATCTTTTAGAACTTCAAAGCAACCACATTTGAACTGTGAATCAAGTTCCCTATCTGAAAATATTTGAATGGATAATGTCATGAACTTGTCTGCTTGAAATATTTTGTCACATTTTGTTCCATCTCTTAAAATGAACTTTAATTATTTTTTATTTTTATTTTATTTTTAAAACACAACGTAATTTCATAACAGGGCTGAAGTTATTCTACTTGTAAATTTCCACCTGCAAGAATCCACTAGTAGAAAAACAAATCTGTACTGCGTACAAACAAGGCTACTTTGAAAGAACATAAGCATGAGTATGTTTCCTTCAAGATCACAGCAACTCTACAATACAAGGAAGCATCATGAATGCCACCATGAAGACAGACTCTAGGTGAAAAAAAACCTCTACAGTTAAGTGGCAGTGCTAAGATCTTAGAAAATTTGTTTCTTATCCTTCTTTCCATCATATCTGAAATGACAGTTATTGTTATTTTTCATTATGTAGAGCACCTGATGAGTAGCTTTTATTTCTATAATAGCCAGGCAAGAATCTCTTGTTATGAAAAAGAATGGTTAGATCAAACAGTGGGAGGTAATAGATGAATGCAGAGGACATTTTATTAAAATATTTTAAAATAAATGAACATCTGAGCTGCACTGAAGAATAGTCGTGTCTATTATTATTTATAAAAAATAGTTCCGCTGTCATTGAAGCAAAGGTTTAGACAATATGCGGAACCTTATTTAAGATGTCTTCCTATTGATATATACTTAAGTCACTTGGCAGATTTTTGCTGTACGTATTGAATATCTGCTCAACAGAAACAAAAATACTCTCAGGGAATATTGATTAGTACTGTTTAAATTCAGCCTCTTAGATCAAACCTTTGCCTGCAGCTATTATATTTCTAGGATCGCATGACTCATTCAAATTTACAACCAATAGAAAATTCATCAGTTCTTCAGTAATTATGCACTTAGATTTTCCACATCCAGTCCGCTAACCTGGTAGATCCAGATTACATTCAAAGGCATGGGAATAAAACATGTTTAATGTAGCTTTAGACTGAGCTATACATTTGTGTACATACAATTCCTGAGGTAGCATGTTCATGAAGAAAGGTATAGGTAAATATTTTTGAGTGGATTATATTAAATCATTTAAATCAAACCTGCACATATATGTGTATTTATTTTTATTTAGGATACAAAAGCTGGGTAACATACCATAGAACATTGTTTCTGAAACTTGGCAGCTTTAAGATATGTGGACTTCTGGAATTTCCCAGCAAGGGGAATTTTGGGAGTTGAAGTCCATATGTCTTCAAACAGTCAAGATTGAGAAACATTGCCATAGAGCTAGGATGCATTACTACAAGTTCTGCATTATGGTGAGTATAATTCTCTATTGAGGATATTCTGTTTCATAAACACAAAACACTGACTAGTATGAGGAATGGAATCATTTTGTGTGTTTCAGATTTCACTTCATACATAATTAGTTGGGTTTATATAATATTGAATTAGAGGCAAAGAGAAGCTGTGGATTACTTATATAGATAAGGTAAGATCAACATTGCTAAATCTTGTCTTGTCACAAAAAACCATTTTTATTAAAAATACTTCTCTTATCTAGCAAAACAGCAATGATTAATGTGTCAACATTTTGTTTATTGATTGAGATTCAGTACTTTAGAACAAAACAGTCTTAAAAGTTTATAGCTTATATGATGACCCCATGTTGCCTCCAGGAAGATAAATTAAGAATAATCTGTTTAAATTTAAGTGTTTCCAAAACTTGTGTGTGAGAATGCAAATACAACTATGTGTGAGAATGCAAATACTAAAAAAATACTATTTGTATCTGTATATGGAATTCGTAGTCTTGAATATAACATTCTTCAACCAGATGTATCACAGATACCTACTTTACTTTTAAATTTTTATTTCTAAATTTTTGATTTTTAAAAAATCTTAATAGCTTTGTGGATGGACATTGAAAATGGCAAAATCAATGGAACCCTGCTGGAATTAATCAGTGGTATCCCTACTTTGTAGTTTCAACCTAAAATCTGTCCAGCTCAATAATCAGGGTGGGCAGGTTTGTGGGAACACAGGAGCATGAGTTATAGGCCAAGATAATTTGCTTTGAGAAAGGAGACTGTTAAGTAAACCCAATTTATGAAGCAGGGAAAGCAGTAAAACTGATTAACAGAGGTGAGGAAAACAATTAGATTGAAAATGCCGCAATTCATGTTCCATAACTTTGAAAGTAAAATTCTTTCTGCACAAAGAATGGAAGGCAATTGGGACTGTAATAGTCCCTGTATTTGCTGATGCTTCCAGAAGAAACTTTGGAACGCTTTAGACACACTATGCAATGTTACAAGCAAGAATATCATGATTCGGGACTATGTTAACAGAATCCTATTGTTTATTCTTGGGAAATTTATATTGGCTGTATTAATCATGCTATATTAAACAAAAAAAAAGAATATTATAGAAACTCCTTTCTTCCTCTCAATTCATTTATGGGCAAGTTAGCTCTTTGGAAATGATAGCATTACCTATCTGATTGTAAGAGGGTTCAAGTAAAAAAATGACAAATGTAACCCAGCAAATTTGATTATCATCATCTTTTTATGCATAGTATTAAGAGTTGCTTTCATAGTACCTTCATAATTGTAACAGGAGTTTATAAGAAGTTGCAAGTTGTTTATAAATCTTGTGAGTCTAGATTCCTCTCCATTCCACCATAACCCTTGTTATATTTGATAGTTTTTCTAAAACACAGCTTCTAACTTCCATTTTCCCCCTTATATGTCATGAAAAGCGCAGATGCACACCTGAAAAACATTCATTTGTGCAGAAATGAGTAAGATTGCACCAGTTGTTTAATCTGAAGTTTTGTGTGCAGTTGCTTCTCATTCTTCATGACCTGATTGTGAATTTCAGTGGGATTATCTGTCAGTGACATCTTGAGTTTTTGTAGGATTACACTTGTGCCATCAGTGGTAATATCTAATTACCATGTCTTTTGTCATGGACTCTTTCCAATTGCCTCCAATTTTGGTCTCCAATTGGGTGCTTTTAAGTTTCATTATTAGCACTCCCAGCAAGCAGTTTTGCTTTACTTGACTGAGTGATTTGTTCTCCCTGCACTCCAAGATATTATCAACAAATTTCTCCAGCACAACTCTAAAGCATCCATTTTTCTTTGTTCAGCCTTTCTGATGGTCCAGCTTTTACTGTCACATATTTTTTAACTTATTTGATAATGCATATTTTTGTTTTCTGTATTGTTTGCCTACACTTTGGCATTTTGTCTAAATTTATCATGGTCCTTTTCCAAGCAGCTGACATCTCTTTGTTTCATGACTAGAGTGAATTCTGAATTTTGGAAAATAAAGGCTGTTAGTACTTTAGTTTTGCCCAGTTGCATTGGGCTGTCATTGCCTTTTGACATAAACTTAATGGATCTTTTTTTTTGTTGTTTTCAAATGAACAAGAGAAGCTTTTTTTTTTCACTTGCAACAAGAAATTCCTTAAGTTTGTATTACTTATAGCATTATCACTAGCATTTCTGACTGTATGGTTTGCATGTAATTTAAATCAGATAATAGTATATAGCTTGTGCCATACAGATGTTCTGGGCAACAGTCTTAGGCATACTTACTATCCTCTTAATTTAATTCATATGGAGTCGTGCAAAGGTAAGTGCTTTTAAATACTATGATTCAATTTTATCTATGCTGTGTATTTTGCATTATTGTTCAAATGATAAATTTTCTATTTTTGCTTAAAGCTGACAAGCAAAACTGCACATAATTTCAGAGAACAAATAATTAGCATTTCTATTACTTATTTTTTTTTGTATAAGACCCAAATACTTATTATGATAATCATTATTCTGTTGTTTTGCATGTACACTGAGACCTTCTGCACTGGAAACAAATTCCTTGTTTATCTAACCACACCGTACTTTATTGGCCAAATAAATCTATTCTATTCTATTCTATTCTATTCTACTCTATTCTATTCTCTACTCTAATTTTCCAATCTGTTATTTCTGCTTGCTTTGCTTTATTTTAAATAAAAAGAATTGGCATTGTGGAAATGCATGCCTCCCACCCTCCCAATATAAATCTCTTATTTTTCATGCAAGGGTAAAAAAATATAATACTGCTTTCAATGTAAGTTGCCTTTTTTCTCCTCAATACATGCTGCCATTTTTCAATCTGTGTTAAAAGTCTGTTGCCTGATAAAGCAAGCTCCACTGAAAATCCTTATCGCAGGATTCCAACATTAGTATTTGGGTCTTATACAAAAAATAAATATGCCCTGACTCAGAAAGGGATCATATAGGCCTGAAAAGGACTCCAAAGAGATGCAAATAAATAAAAGAAGTATGATTCATATCCCTACTTTTGCAGCAGGATTGCATACAAGAATTTTCTTTTCAAGAGTGTAATTCTTCTGATCCTTTTGATCTGAAGCCTGAATATGAGATATTCTACCATTTGCAGCTGTCGACAACTCCACTGCTCAGTGTGGTTATTACTTTTCAAAGAGACACTTTCTGGTGCAGTTGCAGACAACATGTTATTTTAATATTGTTGAAAAATTGAATATAATAGTGAATAAGAATTGGAAATTATCAGGGACTATATAACAGTCATGTTGTCTATCTAGGTCATAGGCCAGGCCGTTATAACTTTCAACAATCAGTACCTTTGTATGTAATGATCAAATAGCTAACATTCTCCCAATGAGTGTTATACAATTGCTGAAGCCCAAGCCTAATTCTCATTGCTTGAGAAATGTGGATAATCACTGCAGTCTGGATTTAATTATTTGTACATCAGATTTCATGAAATGTTTAAATTAAATGATGCAAGAAGCCCTCTTAACGTGCAACCCATTTTTCTTTTAATGTATGACGATCTCGGGTTCCCTGTTCCTTGAGATCAGCTATCATTGTTTGGAAAGAAACATGAGAAGTTAGTAAAATTGTGCAATTTCTTATCAATTCATAATATTTTATTCAATAGTAAAGAACAGGTGTATTTGTGAGAAATACTTCCACCATAATAAAAAAGAAGGAAATGACTGAGCTGTTTTTCCTCTCACAACTCAATCAATGTTTTGCTTGGGAATTTATTCTTTTTTTCTATAACTTGAAAACACAAGCACCACAACACATATTTTTTAATAAATTCTCAAACTGATAAAACTCACTTCCCTCCAAATCCCTCTTCCTGTATATTTCTCCCCATGCATAACACCTTAAAATGAATCCAGCTTTAGATGACAACTCTTATCAAAACATGGAATAATTTTACTATGCTAAGTGTATGGAAGTGTGCAAGTGGCCAATTAATTTTTGACAGTTTAAAAAAGTTGTTTGACTTCAATGATATGCCATGTGCAAGGTCAAATAACACTGAATGAAATCCTTTTTATTCACAAGCTAGGTATAATCCCACAAAGGAACATAACAAGTGAGGATCCATTTACAGAACTATTAAGTGCTACCCAAGATCATTCACTAGATTGGAATAGTGCCGAGGCATCTTAAAGAAACCAGTGTATTTTATTGTTATGTCAGACAGGACTAGCTTTATATCCATGTAATTCATTGCACTTCAGAACAGAAGGTCTGTTTCCTATTCCAGAAAACATGACAGGATGTTCATGAATGGTTCACAATCTTCTTTCCAAATGGCCTGCTTTCTCTCGCTCTCTGTATCCATAAACCAATATATACAAATGACTGGGTTTTGCCATTTTCAGAGGAGGCATCAGTTAGCCTTGGCTGATTCCACTGCAACCCAATCCTAGTTTTCCATGTCATCCTCAAATAATTGCATTTAATTCTGCCCCTCTATTCACATCTACTTGGAGATAAAGTCCAGTGAATTGAACGGATTTCTAGGTAAAGTACCCCTAATCCATCTAAGACAAACATTTCTTAATATAGTTTTGAAGGATTTAAGTACCTCAGAAGGCATGTGGGAGACCACATTCTGAGATGCTTCTGAGATTGATTTGCTCAAATTATTTTTGGATCAAATGGAATTAGGGCTACCAGGTTATTTTTTTTAGCAATACCAAAAGACCAAAAATAGCTAAGGAACTGCAGATATAACTCACTCTTAATTGTACACCTAATGTCACATATTATAGCTGTAACCATCACTCTCAGCTGGAGCTCCCCATCAAGATGTGCTTGCTCTCAAAATGGCTTGATGCTGGAACACTGCCTAAGAATACAAAATTTAAAAAAACAAACCACACAGAACTTCCAGATCAAATATTAATTACATGCCAGATAGAATTATCCTATAGGTCAAAGAGAAAATATATAAACAAGAAACTGGGCATTAAATCAGCGGCAATATAAATCCTCAGTTTTTGAGTGATTATGAAAGATAAATAACCATATCATTGTGAAATAGAAAAATACTGGATTGCATTAAAAACTTCCACTAAGTAACTGTTAAATGTCACTATGAAAACCCAGTGGCAATGTGCCTTAAAAACATAATGAATCACACATCTCCTGAATTACGTTCATTAATACCGAAGGTGTTGTCTTCTTTCCTTTTTAACAAATCACGTATACATATGCAATAGACCGAAGTGAAAATATTTGCTTAATCAAATACTGAATACCAAGCACCTTTTTTCGGTATTTTTTTGTAACAACTTCCTGAATATTGTAGCAGGGTTTCTTTTTTTAAAATCCCAAAACACTGTTAACCTTCCTTTTTTCAGCTTGGCTTGCTGTGATATGATGTTCAATCCTTAGAAACCTGATACAGTCGGTGATTGTGATTGCAGCCTTGTGCATTCATTCCTCAGAATACTAGTTTAATCTTTGCATGATTGACAGGAAGTGCTTCTGGTTTCCAGTCTGGCTGAAAAAAGTGAATATTGAAAGTCCGGGCCCAATTCTCAAAGACTCGTTTCTCTGTGATAAAGCGATGATGACTTCCCTTCCTTCCCCGTTCGTGTGAAATGTACATTGTACATTCATCGGGTCCCAATGGTTCGTAATAATGATAAGGTACTGAAGGATGATTAGAATCCCTGTAGAAAAAGAAAGCAAAGTTGGATGCGACTGAAAAATAAGGCTGTCCTCAATAAGCCAAAAAGTCCTTTTCTCCCATTCACCTCATCTCCCAGAAGGCCAATATTGTAAACACTGAAATATTCTATCTGAACTAATTAAACTATAACCACTCCAGAACCAAATGGCTGACTACACTGAAGAGTGCTATGAATGTAGATTACATAGAGAGAAAATCTGAGATACATTCAGAGAAGTGAGCAGCTTGGGAAGTAGTAACACAACCTCAGGCTTTTGATCCGGCCAACACAACAACCTGTTGTGTCTAGAACCATCAATTTGGTCCTCCCCACTTTTTGCATGGTTTTGTTTTAAACTGCTGCTGTGATTTGCAGGGACGATAATTGATTTGCAAGGATGCTAATTTTATTTAGAGCCGAGGTGGCGCAGTGGTTAGGGTGCGGTACTGCAGGCCACTTCAGCTGACTGTTATCTGCAGTTCAGCGGTTCTAATCTCACCGGCTCAAGGTTGACTCAGCCTTCCATCCTTCCGAGGTGGGTGAAATGAGCACCCAGACTGTCTGTAAACCGCTTAGAGGGCTGAAAGCCCTATGAAGCGGTATATAAGTCTAACTGCTATTGCTATTGCTATTTAATAACTACAACAAATTGCAAGATTGGAAAAATTGTAACCCCACCCAAACAGATTATTCTCCAGGATATGAATCATAGATATAGGAGCTTCATCCTCAACACTATTCTTAGTAATGAATTCCTACATGTTTTTTTTAAAATTAATTGTAACATCTCAGATAGGATCTACATTTAAATTCCCAGAAACCCTGAAAATCCTAAGGGCTCTCCATGATCACTATTCTTATTTCTCCTCTCTAGGTCTGTAACTTTGATAGTTTGATCCCTTTTACTAAAATGAGCCCAGTTCAATAAAAGACAAAGCAAAAATCAATCTGGCAGTATAAAAGGCTGACAAAAGATCTTCGTTTAAGAGTGATTGTGCCTGTACAATCATAGTATACGGCAGTAACACAGAAACTAAAGCATACAATCCTTTTAATTCTACACATATCATTTAAGCATCTCTGGCAGGAGGTATATAATTTTTCTGGAGCACTTTCTTCAGATTTTATGTCTGAGAAACATAGACATGTTGTAAGCTTCATATAATTAGTTATAATGCTATCAAATACCTATAAATATGAAGGAAGATGTTCTCAACTTGGACATTTTTAGATCAGGGGTATCCAGTCTTGGCAACTTTAAGACTGTAAGCACTGAGGTATTCTGGAAATTGAAGTCTATATGTCTTAAAGTTGCCAAGGTTGGACATCCCTGTTTTAAAAGGATGAATTACAGCCCTAATGGCTTCTGGTATAATTAACAAACCAAACCTACATGCCATGACATCTTCTAAATATTACAAGAAAAAATGTCACAGCTTCATGCTTTTTTGCCCACACATTATTGCTGTTATAAAGTACAATGTGACATTGCATTTTGGCTTCCCTTTCTTCATTAATAACAGTTTTTCCATGATGGAAACAATGCATACAGCATCAAGATCACATAATGAATTTTCCTTTGAAGTAGATATTAGAAGGAAGCAAGTACTATGAACCTATAAGCCTTGTACCGTGTTTCCCCGAAATTACGACATGTCCTGATAATAAGGCCATGCCACATTTTTCTGGTGGGCAAAAATATAAGCCCTCCCTGGCAAATAAGCCCCCTGGACAACCCCAGCCAGGCAGAGCGCTGCTCACCAACCTAGCGGTATCCCAAAGATGCCAAGCCGCGAGAACCGGGGGGGAGGCAAAGGTGATCGTGTTGCTTAGTGCCTTTGGGATACCGCTAGGTTGGTGAGCGGCTCTGTGCCCAGCTGAAGAGGGGGGTTGTTGGGTGGCTGCTCTCTTGTGAGCGGGCTCCGCTTCATGGGCAAATGGCTGTGTTGCACTATCGCAGCAGCGCAGCGCAGCAGCCATGAAGTGACCACTCATACGCAGCCACCCGGCAAACCCCATTTCCAGCCAGACACAGCGCCATTCACTGACTTAGGGATATCGCCAAGTGCTGTGAGCGCCTGTTTGTCGCTGCAAGGCTCCCACAGCTTGGCGTCTTCGAAATGGCAGTGAATGGCGCTCTGCATGGCTGGAGGGAGGGATTGCACGAGCGGCTGTTCTGCTTTCGCTCACACGCCTGCCAGCCTCACAATGCATGGCCCAGCTCTCTCCGCAGAGCCAGGGCACCTCCGCTGCCGCCACATGGCTTTTTTTGCGGCTTCCAAACTGAGTCTTCCGGCAGTGGCCGCTCTGGGCGTACACTCCATGGTTGTACGCTCTGCCAGCAGCTGGCCCACAACCATAGAGCGTATGTCTAGTGTGGCCACTGCCGGAAGACTCGGTTTGAAAGCTGCAAAAAAAGCTATATGGCGGCGGCGGCAGCAGCGATGGTGGTGGCAGAGGTGCCCTGGCTCTGCGGTGCCCTGGCTCTGCAAGGCAGGTGAGTGAGCGAGAGCGGAACAGCCGTTTGCGCAACCCCCTTCCAGCCATGCAGAGCGCCATTCACTGCCATTTCGAAGACGCCAAGCCATGGGAGCCTTGCAGCGGTGAACAGGCATTCATGCCACTTGGCGATATCTCTAAGTCAGTGAATGGCGCTGTGCCCGACTGGAAAGGGGGTTTGCCGGGTGGCTGCGCATGAGTGTGGTTGCTTCATGGCTGATGTGCTGCGCTGCTGCNGGCAAATAAGCCCCCTGGACAACCCCAGCCAGGCAGAGCACCGCTCACCAACCTAGCGGTATCCCAAAGATACCAAGCCGCGGGAACCGAGGGGGAGGCAAAGGTGATCACATTGCTTAGCGCCTTTGGATACCGTTAGGTTGGTGAGTAGCTCTGTGCCCAGCTGAAGAGGGGGGTTGTTGGGTGGCTGCTCTCTTGTGAGCGGGCTCCACTTCATGGGCAAATGGCTGTGTTGCGCTATCGCAGCAGCGCAGCACAGCAGCCATGAAGTGACCACACACATACCCAGCCACCCGGCAAACCCCATTTCCAGCCAGACACAGCGCCATTCACTGACTTAGGGATATCGCCAAGCGGTGTGAGCGCCTGTTCGCCGCTGCAAGGCTCCCACAGCTTGGCGTCTTCGAAATGGCAGTGAATGGCGCTCTGCATGGCTGGAGGGGGGGATTGCACGAGCGGCTGTTCTGCTTTCGCTCACACACCTGCCAGCCTCACGATGCATGGCCCAGCTCGCTCTGCAGAGCCAGGCCACCTCCGCTGCCGCCACATGGCTTTTTTTGCGGCTTCCAAACCGAGTCTTCCGGCAGTGGCCACTCTGGGCGTACGCTCTATGCTTGTACGCTCTGCCAGCAGCTGGCCCACAATCATAAAGCGTACGTCTAGTGTGGCCACTGCCGGAAGACTCAGTTTGAAAGCTGCAAAAAAAGCTACGCGGCGGCAGCAGCAGCGACGGTGGTGGCAGAGGTGCCCTGGCTCTGCGGAGAGAGCTGGGCCATGCATTGTAAGGCTGGCAGGTGAGTGAGCGAGAGCAGAACAGCCGTTTGCGCAACCCCCCTCCAGCCATGCAGAGCGCCATTCACTGCCATTTCGAAGACGCCAAGCTATGGGAGCCTTGCAGCGGCGAACAGGCATTCACGCCACTTGGCGATATCTCTAGGTCAGTGAATGGCGCTGTGCCCGACTGGAAAGGGGGTTTGCCGGGTGGCTGCGCATGAGTGTGGTTGCTTCATGGCTGATGTGCTGCGCTGCTGCAACAGCACAACACAACCATTCGTCCATGAGGCTGTACCCGGCTCTTTGGGAGCCCGCTTGCAAGAGAGCAGCTGCCCAGGAACCCCAAAACAATAAACCCTCCCCTCATAATAAGCCTCAAGCCATACTTTGTGTGTAAAAAGAAAATAAGGCCCTGTCTTATTTTCGGGGAAACACGGTAATGACTGAGTATGGTGACTGGTGGAAAAGAACAATAATTTCTCCTTCATACCTAGTTTCTTCATTTTTGAGTAAAAAATGTGCAGCTATTCCCCTTCCAACTGCTACACAGAAACATTCAAGACAGTATAGCTAGGAAAATGCTGTAATCAATACAGCTCTTATTAATCCAAAGGAACACACCCTTGTTCAACTTCAAGATGATGAGACCATCTACACTAGTATCTTGTGTCTTTGGGGCCAAATGTTAATTCTAATCCTAAACACCATCAAAAAGAATTGGGGTAATTTTATAAGTTTCATCTTTCTGGTTTGAATAGGTAAAAGAGTCCCTGAGGATTTTACTCTGCTAGTCGTTGCCGATTATAGGAGCCAGTGCTCATCTCGGTTTCAAGGGCATTGAGCCAAGCGCTGCCCGAAGATGTTTCTGTGGTCACGTGGCCAGCAGGATATCATGGAGTGCTATTACCTTCCCACTGAAGTGATACCTATTTATGTACTTGCATTTACATGTTTTTGAACTGCTAGGTTGTCGGGAACTGGAGTAGGAACAGGAGCTCACCCCCGTCACGTGGCACTCAGGTCTCAAACTGGGCTTCTGGCTTTCTAGCCAACAAGCCCAGCATCTTAACCACTAAGCCATGGCACTACCCTCTGGTTTGAATAACCCAACTAAAATTGTATGCTAAATTCCCACTCAGAAATTATATTTTTATGATATAATTTTTTGAGAATGCTGGAAGTCATCCCCATCCTTCTTTATTAATACTAAAGCTACTAGTAGTCTATAAAGGTGCCTATTTTATTACTCGGTGATATTAGACATTAATCAGTACTCAGTAGCTTATCAATATTATAGTAGGAGTGTATTTACAAATGTAACTACTGTATGTAAAAACATTAGTTTTCCGAAGTGGTACTTTACAATCTTCTATATTATATACTGTATATATACTACAATATTTCTTTTGGGTAAAACGAAAAGATATTCAACTGTACTATGATTCTGCTACTTAATGGCAAATCCCACTGAGAAGAACTTTAAGCTTCAAAGTTTAATGCTATTAGTTCAAGCATAAACAGTCTAAAGGCATTTTCAAGAAAGTAGCAGACAAATTCTGACAGACAAAGAGATGGAATGATAACATAAATCCATTCCTCTTACATGATAGCTTGACAATCAGCGGATATCAGGTTAGGATTTGGATATTACTACATAATGCTATACTGCAGTGCAGCCCAACTGTTTTCTTGACTGAGCTGTCAGAAATGGCATTAATTTGAACTTTTGTGCCAAATTCATTTAAAAAAGAATTGCATAGTTTAATAGCTACTGCAGGTTTCGCTAATCAGAATGGAAACTAATCTATGGGAAGAGAAATCCAATAAACAGCTCTGTTGTTCCACTAATGTGCGTTAAAATACGCAGGTTGGATTGTCCCCAAATCATGGTTCCTCTTAAAATGCTCTGCTTTAAAAAACCAGACAACATTGCAAGATTCCCGAATGAGGTATGGATTTCATCTATTAAGAGTTGGCAAGCTTTCAAAGATGTGGTTGATCCATGGAATGAAGATATGACCAAGGCAGCTGTCATGCTTGTCCCTAGGACAACCCTCTGAAACACAGCTCCAAATCAACCATGAACCTTGCACAAGAAAGATGAAGGTTTCCAAATGGACTGAATAAATGTGGAGAGATCTCAAACATGCAGTGCAATCAAGAAGACCCAATAATATTTCTGAGCCAAGAGTTGGGGGGAAAAAGCAAGAATAGGCAAACTCTTAAGAAAGGTTGTGAACTGATGCACATCAAGTTATGATGGCAAATGGAGCTGGAATCTCCAGAGCTAAGTGATGTGGTCATAAATCATACACACATATACACAGGTCGTAGACAATAAATGCAACAAGCCATTAATGGCATGTGTTTGTCTGTATGCCCATATAATCTTGATTTTCAAATGGTTTTTCTCCAGAAATTAATTTTATATATTCTATAGCATTATGTTTACCTAATAAATATTTAAAAGACTAAGGAAAACTAACAAGATGAGTAACTCCTCACAGTACAAACAGTTTAAATAATATATTAAATGCAATTAAATGCTGTTTGTTGTTTTCAAAACTCAATCACAGCACATGCTAAAATGTCTTTATACTACTCAAAACTCAGATGTAGGATGTAGTATAAAGACGTTTATGTGTAAATACATAATCCATAAGACTTAATTTCGCAACCTAATTAAAAACCAAGTGAATTGGTTACCTGCAGAAATCGGGTGGCACCATTCCATAGACGTCTATTTTGTCACACAGCTCTAAGGCAATACTCATTGTAAACCATCCAGTGCTTAGCCAAGTGTTGGATATCTTCCTGAAAACAGAAACAATTAAGTTCTCCAGGTGACAAATAATACTTGAGATAACTTCACGTTTGAAGGATTTTTTCTGAAAGAATAGTTACCTATTAAAATTCATAGAAAAGTTGTACACATGGGCAGTCAACATTCAAAATACTTCTACACCATGTAATAGGTTTAACTATATCCTTCTGGTTGTGAACAAATGTATTTAGTAATTGCATTTTTCATTCTAGCATTGCAGCTATTAAGTGGTATTACATACCTGGGCAGTTACCTGAATAAGATTTGAGTGTAAACTGTGGGTTTGCATTAGTCCTACTAATTAAATGGGAAAGAAAGATAACTCTATCTGGTTAATGGAAGAATTAGCAGGTGAATACACACTTTATGTCAGCACAGGGCATATTCAGGTTGACTATACTAACTGTACAACATTGCAACAAAATTTCACATGATCTGGAACATTTTTTTGCATAAGTATGCTGAGCAACAGTTCCATCCAAGGTAAAGAAATAACTGCAATGAATAGCCCTCCAAGAGCCTTGAAGCATTTCCATCAAGTTTATTTCTCTTTGCTTCCTACTTCAGCTACTCTTTTCTCTTCCCCATCTTTAGCCATGCTGTTTTTTCTTTAGATCTTTTGCTTTTCCCCCTCTGCAAGACAAGAGAGGGAATCTTTTGTTGCATGTGCTTATGTGAAAGGAAGCATGAAAGAAAAATGATTGCACATTCAGATAGTGGATCAGTTAGGTTAAAAAAAATGAGTCATCCTTATAGACTATCAATGGTAATTTTTGTCTCAGCCTTTTGTTTTTTTAAGAATACAACATATTGTACAAAGCTATGTGAGCATACACTGATATACATATATTTATTCACTTACTGGTAGAGAAATCCTTAGGGATGGATGGAGTTAGCAAACAGAAATAGACAAAAGTGGGAATATTGGGTATTCTATAGAATTTGTTTTATCTCTGCTCTTCCTTTTGGAAAGGATAATTTTAAATTCATTCTTTTTTTTAGGAACAAATTTTTAATCATTTTTGCCAATAAAGATACATACTTAAGTAAGATTCCTACCTCAAAAAGAATTAATTGTCAATCTTCTAGAGCTTGGGTAAACTGTGATGGGATATGTTGATCTCCCATGGAGAGATACATAAGCTAATTTCTTCTCTCTCTTAAATGGCTGAGATAAATAATTAATATTCATGTAAAAGAAAGAAATCAGAATGTGTCTATACTCTTGTGTCAAATTCACATACATCATAGTTGACTTATCTTTGAATTTTGCTTGAAAAGCTCCGGGCTTAATTGCTGCCGAAGTGTTGAACTTGGGCCTGGAAACTATCTTACGTCTGTACTACTGTAATACACTCTACGTGGGGCTATTTTTGAAGACTATCTGGGAGCTTCAGTACAGAACTCAGTGGCTCAGTAAGTCTTGGGCATCCCTAAAGCTGCATATATAATATCTCTACTGTGTGAGCGTCATTGGGTGTTGGTCTGTTTATGGGCCCAATTCAGGGTGTTGCTCATGACCCTAAATCCCTTCATGGCCTAGGCTGAGGTTACTTGAAGGACCATTTTGTCCCAATCTATCTGTCATATTGGCTCATGCAGGAAGGGTGTTTTACAGACCCCCATCAGTTAAAGCAGTGTTTCTCAACCTTGGCAACTTNTCCTCTCCTCTCCCTCCTCTCCTCTCCCCTCCTCTCCCCTCCTCTCCCATCTCTCATCTCCTTTCTTCTTCTCTCCCATCTTTCCTCTCCTCTCCCTCCTCTCCTCTCTTCTCCTCTCTTGTCCCTCCTCTCCTCTCTCCTCTCTCCTCTCGTCTCCCCATCTCTCTTCTCCTCTCCTCTCCTCTTCTCACCTCTCCTCTTCCTCGTCTCCTCTCCTTTCCTCTCACATCTCTCGTCTCCTTTCTTTTTCTCTCCCTCCTCTCCTCTCCCTCCTCTCTTCTCCTCTCTTGTCCCTCCTCTCCTCTCTCCTCTCTCCTCTCGTCTCCTCTCATCTCCCATCTCTCTTCTCCTCTCCTCTCCCTCCTCTCCTCTCACATCTCTCGTCTCCTTTCTTTTTCTCTCCCTCCTCTCCTCTCCCTCCTCTCCTCTCTTCTCCTCTCTTGTCCCTCCTCTCCTCTCTCCTCTTGTCTTCTCTCATCTCCTCACCCATCTCTCCTCTCCTCTCCTCTCTTCACCTCACCTCTCCTCTCTTTTCTCTGTGCCTCAGGGTCAATGTTGACTCCTGGCAACTACTTGGACTAATCCCTGTAGTTTTCTTGGCAAGATTTCAGAAATGGTTTGCCCTTGCCTGATTCCCAGGGCTAAGAGTGAGTGATTGGTTCAAGGTCAGCTCGATGGCTTTGGGTCCTAAACAGGGCTAAAATCCAGTCTCCTGATTTCTAATCTGATGACTTAATCATTACAACACCAAATTGGCACTCTGATCATGTTGTCTACTTATTACTGGGGTTAAAACATCCATCAATTAAAAAGGGGGGGAAAAACCTCGGTAACATATTGGGGTTTTCTAGCTGTGGATAATGTGAATACAGGTAGCCCTCTTATAGTAGTTCACTTAGTGACCATTTGAACTTACAAAGGCACTGAAAAGTGACTTATGACCATTTTTCATACAACCGTTGCATCGTCCCTGGGTCACATAATCACCTTTTGTGACCTTCTGGCAAGCAAAGACAAAGGGGAGGCCAGATTCATTTAACGACCATGTTACTAACTTAACAACTGCACTGTTTCACTTAACAATGGTGGCAAGGGAGGTCATAAAATGGGCATCATTCCCTTAACAACCGTCTCGTTTAGCAAACAGAAATTTGGGCTCAACTGTCATAATAAGTCAAGGATTACCTAGTGAAACAGCACTTTTAAAAATAGAAATGCTCTATTTCTGGAAGCTCAGCTGATCTCAGTGGAGAGAGAGATAGTTTATACATGGAGTACTTGGAAATGCTTTGTCCACACTATTCTTTTGTTTTTTTTAAGTCACGTTTTTAATTTATATATAAGTATTTTGAAGACAGTATATTGTCCGGGCATTTCATTTTACAGAATAAAAAAAAGAAAAGATAGTATATTGGTAGTGATAATGATAATACATATAATAATTATAGCCATATTTATAATTATGTTAGCTTATTTATGATTATATTAATTACACTAGCATACTTATAAACAACATTCATATTTTACTTACACATAACAATGATCTTTCTTCATCTAATTTCTATCTCTTATCTCTCTAATCATTGATACAATCTATTCCACGTTGAGTAGTACTCTGTATCTCCTTTATCTTTTATTTTCAATGTCAATCTATCCATTTCTGCACAGTCCAGTATTTTCCAAAATATATTCTCATCTGGTGGGGTGTTCTCATTTTTCCAATATTGTGCGAATACAATTCTCGCTGCTGTCGATACTTGTAGCATTAAGTATATAGTCCCTTTATCTGCACTATTCCTAAATGAACTCCAATGAGTCATGGAACAACTAACAAGGGAGTTTATGTAAAACATAAAAGATCAGAGAGGTTTATAGACAATAGTAAGAACTGTGTGGAAGATGCTCCCACATTGGAAGGAATGTTGTGATGTTTTGGGACCTCCTTGAAAATTCCTTTTCTATATTATTTGAAAGCTTCCTGCCAGCAAAAATCCACCTTCTTGTACTTACTATGAACTCATTCAAATAGAGTCCTTCCCATGGTCGTGATTATGAGTTCAAGCCCCAGTACTAATACCATCATGGTATGTGCAAATGACCTTGGGAGACAGGTGGAACATCTACAGACTATACCAGTGATGGATAACCTTTTTGTCACTGTATGCCCAAAGTGTGTGCGCATGCACCCATAATGCAATGCACTTGTGACACCACCACCACCCACATGTGCCCCACTCCCCATGCATGTGCATGCAACCCTTGCACATGCACATGTGACCCCCTGCATACGCCCCTCCTGTGCATGCACTGCAGAGACCTGAAAATCAGCTGGCCAGCAGGAGGCTCATGCGCAGTGGGTTGATGGCTCACATGCCCCCAGAGAGGGCATAGGTGCCATAGGTTCGCCATCACGGGACTAGATAATTTTCGGGTGGCAGCTGAGTTGGCAGAAGGAATGTTTGCAGGAGGATCCATATGATGGGAACACATTTTTTGTAAAACCTGGGCAAGGTAAAGCAAACATTATGAGACCACACTTTCAGTGGAAATTTAATGTGCTATTAGTGCATCTAACTGGTCAGATTCTTTCGACTAATTATTTTGACTAATTAGACTAGCCACTTTCTTGGCTCAAATAAAGTTTTGCTGCCAATTTAGCTGAGTTTGAAAAAAAAATCATTTATCTACATATTAAATGTCCACACCACCCATCTCACCAAAGTAACTCTGGCCAGTTTAATAAAAACAATATAAATGCATGACTAAAAGCACAGTTAAAACCAGAATTAAGAATAAGGTAAAAATTTACAAGTTAAAAGTGAAAACTAAAGTTTCGATAAAAGAATATCCTATTCTTATTGAGATAAGGTAAATGGCTTTAAAAAAAAACATAGTAAGATTTAATATTTAAATTCTTGATCAAATTAAGAATTTAATTTGGATTTAAATATGAATACTTCCCCCCTCCCCAAAAAAAAGCATTATTCCTACTCAGGCATCCAGAATTCAAAATTTAAATGTATTATTTAGTTACACTGAGATTTCAATAACCTAAAGCATCTGTTAATTTTTGAAAAAAGGAATTCTCTCTTAGTCTTACCAGTACTGAAGAATAGTGTTTACCCAGACCAAATAGAAAGCTATATTCTTTGACCCAGGGAGTTTTGCAACTGAGTAAACTAATTCTTGTCTGATTTCTTTTTCTTTTTCCTGGAGCAAGAACCAAAACTCCAAATAATTTTAACCTGCCAGAATTAAGCTGAGTTTTGGGTTTGGTATCACTTGCAGTTGTACAAAGAGCCAACAATTAACCTTAGTGGGTGATGTCACATCTTGCTTCATGGCAGCTTGGGTCAAGTGGTACTAATACCACTTGACCCAATTAGTGGCACTAATACCACTCTATAAAGCCCTAGTAAAACCACACCTAGAGTACTGCATCCAGTTTTGATCACCACACTGTAAAAAAAAAGATGTTGAGACTCTAGAAAAAGTGCAGAGAAGAGCAACCAGGATGATTAGGGGACTGGAGGCAAAAACATATGAAGAATAGTTACAGGAACTGTGTCTTTCATTCTTCTGCAAGAGTGATGAGAACCCTATAAACAATCCTGTAATTCAGTGGTTAGATGGCTTAGACAAGGGATCGGCAACTTGTGGCTCTGGAGCCTCATGTGGCTCTTTCTTCCCTCTGCTGTGGCTCCCTGTTGCCAGTTGGCTCCACAGTTGATAGGGCTTTCAGTAGGACAGGTAGAGGAAAAAGGACGCTGTGCTAGGAGGAGACTCTATGATGGGGGAACCAGACTTCCTGTCAGCTCCAGAATTGAACAGGGAGCTTCCGGTTACTCTTTGAGTGTTTAAACTTGCCAACCTCTGGCTTAGACATTGGTATTTGAATGCAGATCTTTTTAACATTTACATTTTATTAGGGTCTACCAATCTAGATGGAATGTTAATATATATTCCTAATCCATGTATGATACACCATATGCTAAAACAATAAATAAATATGAGAAACAGCTTTTCCCATCAGTCTCTGTAAAGTGTGGCAGGATAATCGGAGTAACATCTACTTGTTATTTGTTCCTTCAGCAACACAGCTGAAATTCCCACATGTTTGAATACGATCCATAAGCATTTATTCATGGGTTTATTTTAATTTTGTGTTTCTCTGTTGTGCTCTGTATCCTTGAGCCAGCCACAGGCAAGCAACCACCGACCTCTGGAACCACCAAAATACACAGGGATAGAATGATGGCACTCTCGGCTGCACATTTGGATACATGAAATTTGCTGTTCCTAAGGCTGGGTTATTATTAGCTACCATGCTGGTTAGAATATTGTCATCTGATGTGGTTTCGGGGCACCAACTCTAATAGAAATATCTGCTCAGGAAACACGATAGTATAAATAAATCTGCATTTGAGTCAGATGCTGGAGGAATAATTTTCAGTTTCCCCCAAAGAAAGCTGAACGTCTTGTTTTTTTAATTGGTGGGATTACGCAATGTTGAACAAGTACAATTTCTTAATTTCAACCATCTCTGATGTCCTTGAGGGTAAACTCCAAGGGGGGTGTGCTATGATAAAAACCACATGGCTTTTTCCTCTGAGTAATTTCTATGCAGGCTGTTGCTCTTCTGTAGGATTTGAAATGCAACATAGTAGAGGCTCTGATACCGACTTGGTTTGACCCTGAATAACAAAAACAAAAATTGTGATGTATTGTTTTTAGTTGAAACAGCATTTGTCCTCTTTTTTCCCTCTGAAAGAAACAGAAAGTACTGTTCTTACTACCAAGTTGTATGTTTTACTGTTTTCAGTATTTCCTGTTGGGTTTTATGATTGGATTGCAGATGACATAAAGCTGGCAGGAATAGCCAACACTCCAGAAGACAGGCTTAAGATACAGAAGGATCTTGACAAACTTGAACATCTAATACAATGAAATCCAATGGTAAAAAAGAGTAAGGTTCTACATTTAGGCAAGAAAAACGAAATGCATAGGTACAGTGTAGGTGGTACCTTGCTCAATAGTAGTAACTGTGAAAGGGATCTTGGACTCCTAGTGGACAACCATTTAAATATGAGCCAGCAGTGTGCAGCAGCTGCTAAAAAAGCCAACACAGTTCTAGGCTACCGAAACAGAGGGATAGAATCAAGATCACGTGAAGTGTTAATACTATTTTATAATGACTGAGTAAGGCCACACTTGGAATATTCTATTCAGTTTTGGTCGCCATGATGTAAAAAAGATGTCGAGACTCTAGAAAGAATGCAGAGGAGAGCAACAGAAATGATTAGGAGACTGAAGAATAGTTGCAGGAACTGGGTATGTCTAGTTTAATGAAAAGAAGGACTAGGGGAGACATGATAGCCGTGTTCCAATATCTCAGGGGTTGCCACAAAGAAGAGGGAGCCAAACTATTCTCCAAGGCACCTGAGGGCAGAACAAGAAACAGTGGGTGGAAAGTGGTCAAGTAGAGAAGCAACTATTCTTCAGTCTCCTAATCATTTCTGTTGCTCTCCTCTGCATTCTTTCTAGAGTCTCGACATCTTTTTTACATCATGGCGACCAAAACTGAATAGAATATTCCAAGTGTGGCCTTACTCAGTC